ATATATATATATATATACTTTCTGGGAGGTATTAATTTTTCAGAAGTTCCAGAAACAGCTATAACTCTGTTTCCACTAATTGTAGTTATAAAAACTATATCGCTAGTTGATTTTTTGATTTAATCTTAACTTTCTTAACGCTAGACAGTTAATTTACACAATAGGAGAATATGTGTAACATTTTACTAGTGTTGTGTGCTTTTCCTGTTTTATAAAATCATTGGGTACTGTAAAGTTATTCTCAAAAATTGCAGACTCTCTTGACTTCGATAAGCATATCTGCTTTAGCTACTAATGGAGAAGTTAAGACTGGTGGTGCTTATTTCCTAATATCAAGGAATTTAGGCACGGAATTCGGTTCTGCCGTGGGATTTTTATTTTATCTGGCAAATGCTGTTGCTACTGCAATGTATCTAGTCGGCGGTGTTGAAATATTGCTTGTAATTTTTGAATATCGTTGTAGTTATGAGAAGTATTTTATTATTCAAATGAGTTTCATGTAGAATAAAACTGTGGCTTTTCCTAAAAATTTACAAATATTTTTCTACATTGTTATTTTGCTAAGAATTTTTTTTTGAGTGACAGTACATTTTTGCTCATCTTAACCATTACATTTCTATTTTTCAGATTTATATTTTTCCTGATCTCACAATTGGTGGTAAAGAGGTGCAAAATGAAACAGGTAAGTCATTTTCTAACTGTCTTCTTTTTCATCTGGGCGTTTTAAAACTATTGATTTAATACATGTCACTTTAAGGTTTTATGGGTATGATGTCTCACAATTTACGGTTTTATTCAACAATTTTACTCTTTATTGAATTCTTAATTGTTGCAATGGGCGTCAAATTTGTCCAACTTCTTGCGCCGGTACTTTGGTTTCACTAAATCTTGTTTATTTCAAATACTGATATTAGAAGTCACAGTATTCCATCTTAAGTTCAATTGTATAAAATAATAAGGTGCTTTTTGATTGGGATTTGTCAAAATATATAACGGTTTTGAGGCTTCTAGAAAAGCTGTTTTGAAAATACAGTAGAAAAAGTTTATAAGTTTATAGTTTACAGGCTGAAGCTTTTCTGCAGTTCCGTAAATCGTATCAATTTTTAATCCACTTTTTAGGTTTCCCTTCTGTGTGTTATAATATCGATCTTGGCCTGTTATGTCGGTGGTTTAGCCAGAACTTTAGACCCATCTGGAAGTCAACAGTAAGTTTTCGTTCTTATTTGTAAATTCTGTTTTTTTCTGTATGGCACAGTATAGCAAAGAATTGAACCAATTGTTTTTTCAACAAATTTGATTAGGTAGTTTTAATGGTAAAAATTACAGTATTTGTATGCTCGGAAGTCGTCCCTTACAAGCACTTAACTTGTTACCGCATAATGTTTCTCTATCAAACATCTGTGATTATTGTAATGATATTCGTTTGTAAGTTTTCTGTGCAGATTGTTTTTTTAGTTCTTGTAGTAGTGATGCAAGTGCATTTGAGCAGAGATGATTTATTTAATGAATATCTTTATTTTTTGTTGTAGAAGTCAGATCTTTCCTGACAAGTGCGGGAATGGAACATGCTCGGAAGCAGTTAGCTGTGTAAATGGATTTCCAGGTTTCTCGCGGGACACTATCATGTGTAAGTTACGTAATATCTACTTTTTAACCATTAATTTAATGCAACGACTTTTTTATAGAAATGGTTTATTACAGGATTTATGATTGGCATAAATTTTAAAATTTTTCTGTTTAGCAAATTTATTCCCAAATTACATGCACGAAGGAGAATACCTACCCGGTAAGGCAGCTGATAGAAATACTGACGTTTTTCAAGATGTGGACGCAACTTTTTTCCTTTTACTCGCTATTTATTTCCCCGCAGTTACGGGTATTCTTACTGGAACTAACATGAGCGGTAATTGGTTGTTTTTTGATATTTCAAGCCACAGTGCAGATTATTTCACATGTAGGCTTAGAGAATATTTTTATAAATTTGTGTCTAAGATATGGATAATATTTTGAAAAGTTTAAATTTACGGTGTATAAATCAAGCTAGAGAGGCTTCATTGCGCTGTGATTCTTCCTCAACTTCTTTAATTTTTGTAAATCTATTTTTCTTGCATTCTGGAATTTGCTGAGGGAAAGATTAATTGTCTTAAAGAAGTATGTTAAGCAAACTGTGTCAAAAAGTTGTACACTAGTGGAAGACAGTTTTTTAACGAAATTTGTTGAGCAGTTTTAGTAATATGAGATAGCGCTTTTATTGATAGTCCAAGAGTCAACGGATATAAGGATTTGACTTTTTTTTTCACCTTCAATTCTGTGATTCGTTTTACCATTTTTTAATTGTTTTTTAATTCATCTTTCCTTTTTTATTTGTCACTGCTGTTGGTTCTTCTTCTGCATTGTAATAGAGCCTTGACTGCAGCGAACTTGTAGTTTTCAACAGTTATTTCTGGCTCTCGGCAGCGGTTTTTTTACATGACTTTAATTCACCGTCAAAGCATTCGGTACTGATGGCTGTAGAAAACAGCAATGTTTATTTAACTTTAATAGTTCTCAGCCTTTGAACAGAGGATCATTTTCAAAGTTGAACCCAAATATTAATTTGTAACAAAAGTAAAAATTTTGGTGGGGGCAGCACAACTGCATAAGTCGAACTTGAGTTTAATATGGCGTCAGTTACTCGATTGATTATTTGGATTTTAATGGTCTGTGCAAATGACTAGTTCTAATTTTTATTTTATAGCAACTTTATATATCAGGAACGTTGAAAATGGTAATCATTGGCTTTTACTGGTTTAGGAGATCTCAAGGATTCCTCAAAGTCTATACCTATAGGCACTATTTCGGCACAGTTGACCACTTCCTTTATTTATTTCCTCCTTGCCTTCGTCTTCGGAGCTGCGATAAATGGCGCAGTTTTGCGCGACAAGTATGTAAACTCATTTAAAAAAAACTCATTTAGTTAAGTACTCTGAAGTAATGTGCTAAAAAAGACTTTTAAGGTATGGTCAAACGCTTGGTGGAGGGATGGTTGTGGCGTACCTTGCTTGGCCAAGTTCTTATGTGTTACTAGTTGGTTCATTCACATCAACATTTGGAGCAGCTTTGCAGTGTTTGTGCAGTAGGTTCAGCTTGTTCAAAACAGTAATTTGATTCTCTCTATGGAAGTTTTTAGAGTTTCTGTTGTTTATGACTGCTACTTTTAGGTGCTCCTCGTCTGCTGCAAGCGCTTGCAAATGACGATGTAATTCCTGTTTTGAAGCCTTTTGCGAAACTGACAAAGAACAATGAGCCATTTTATGGGTAACTCTTGTCACACTTTTTTTGAATATTTGCCTGTAAGTGTCGAAAAAATTAATCTTGTTTCTCGTAAGATCTCTCTTCTCATTCATATATATTGTAACATTTATGATGTAAACACCCTGAATCCTGTTTTTAAATTTTAAGAACTTTTATTAAATATGTGTAGTGCATTAATGGTCCTTCAAAAAGCAAGAAGAGTTTTTTTAATAATTTAGTACCTGGAGGATTTTGTTTCGTACCAATTGCACCACTTCGTTATATTCATTTTTGGACTTTTATGGACTTTTATATGTTTCTAAAGTTTATTAGACAGTACCACCATGAGCTTTTACCACATAGTAAAACGACTTCAAATTTTTAGAACTGTTGTTATAGTACTATTCTAAGTGTTGCATAGAATTTTTTTGACTTTTTTCGGAACGCTTGATCTTTTAGGCTTATTTTATCTACCTTGATAGCGGAAATGGCTGTGCTCTTGGGTGCTATGGATCATATTGCGGCATTAGTGGATTTCTTCTTTCTGATGTGTTATGCTTTTGTAAATCTCACATGTGCCCTTTACTCAATTATGAGAATGCCTAATTGGAGACCACGTTTCAGATATTATCACTGGTTTGTTTTACAAATTTGTACATATATTCTTGAGCTTTAAAAGAATTTAATAGTCTGTTTCAGGTCGCTGTCAATATTGGGGGCTGTCTTATGCTTTTTTATCATGTTCGCTACACACTGGTATCTAGGGGTGTTATGCTGTGCTCTGTTTGGTGCTATTTATAAATATGTTGAGTGGAAGGGGTAAGAACGAGTGGACTGTATATATTTTTACCAGAAATTTTTTGCTTGTTTGAGATGAAATTTTTTATTTAAGGGCCAAAAAAGAATGGGGTGATGGTATGCGAGGTTTAGCTCTTTCAACAGCGCAGTATTCGATTATGAAAGTGGAAGAAAAAGAACCGCATCCGAAGAATTTCAGGTTTTTCTAGCTCCACTGTAGTTACGAAAGCTAGTGCGTCTTTTTGCTACAGAGGATCTGCTCATTTTTATTATCAGGAAATATTATAATATCGCAGTCATATTTGGTTAGCTAAGTCATGTCTAGAATTATCAATGAGCTGTAGGGGTCTTTCAGACCGCAGTTGCTACTCTTGCTTTCTATGATTTATCCGAGTGAAACGCAAGACGTTCGGTATGCACGATTACTTCAACTTGCTTCACAGATGAAAGCTGGACGTGGCCTATCTATTGTTGTGTCATTCATTAGAGGTGATCCCTTGAGTTCAAACTTACGTGAAGAAGCAAACCAGGTACAGTACTAGATTATATTTTAAATGAGAAGAAACGTGTAGAATTGATTTATTTTAAAGGCTCTATTGAGTTTTTTATTATTACTGTAAACAAACTTTCCAGCTGAAAAAGAGAATAGAGGAAGACATGGCTGACTGCAAATTACGAGGCTTTGCTAAAACAGTAATTTACGGAGAAAACCAAGTAATTTCTGCGGATTACGACTTAAATATTTTTCAGCTTTCAATTCTTCAACTCACATTTTACTAAACCGTTTTTACTTCTTGAAGAAATGATAACATCATTACAATTTCAGATAACAGGGAGTCTTTCGACTTTAATTCAGAGTGTTGGTTTGGGTGGCCTTCGGCCAAATACCGTTCTTTTAAGGTGGCCTCTCAAGGGCGACTTTCTTAGCACAAACACTCCCGATTCTGAATATCAGACATTTACTGGTTAATATCTACTTTTTACATATCTTTTTTTTGCATTTATCTATTTGGTTTTGCACAAATTATAGACAAAATGCTTGCTGCGACTGCGATGGATATGTGTCTCATAGTTGCTAAGAATGTAGTCGATTTTCCTCACATGAAACAACGGTTACGAGGCACTTTGGATGTTTATTGGATAGTTCAGGATGGAGGACTGTGTCTGCTTATTGCGTATTTGTTGAATCAGCACAAAGTTGGTTTTGGTCTTAAATTCGTTGTTTTGGTTACTTAATAGTAATTAATTGATTTTCGCACAGGTATGGCGTCACTGTGATATTCGGGTAATTGCTATTGCTCAGGAGAATGATAATAATTTGAAAATTCAAAAAGATTTGCAAAATTACGTGTATAAGTTACGTATCAACGCGCGAATACTTGTGAGTAATATTAGCATTATTTTTTAATTAGCTTATTCTATTTTTCTTAAACGTTCTTATCGACGGAAAGTTTAGTGCTTCTATTAGGATTCAATTTTTTTCTCTTCAATAGCCAATTATAATTATTTCATTTTCATTCTTTAAAAAACTAACCTGTAGTTAATAGTTTTTTACAGGTGGTAGAGCTATCTGATCCAGAAATATCAAAAGCTGCATTTGAGCAGACGTTATTAATGGAGGAGCGTACTCGTTTAGCGCGTAATATTAAAAAGGACACAGAAATTGCTACTGTTAAATCTGCAGCAGCAGTTAGTTTGCATGCTTCTCTCTAAATTTTCGTGTAGAAAGTACCTTCACATTTTTCCGACTAAAACTTACAGGTCGTAGGAGGAAACGATAAATTCGACTTTGAAAAACACTTTGAAACACGAGGATCTATGGATGATTTGTTGACTGGCACTTTACCGTCAGAATCTACAGGTATTCTTTCTACTTTGAAAGAGAGAACTTGAAACTCGTTGTAATTAAAAATCAACTATTTTAATTTTAAGAGCCTGCCCGGGAAGAAGATTTATTTAAGCCGCATGTCGACAGTTATCGAAGTTATGCGTAGGTTTTCTCTGTTACGGCGTGG